ATTGTCCTCTTTGTACATGAACTCTCTCTCGCGAAAGACTCCTCTTCATGCTACAAAGACCACGTTCTCTCTAGGTCTATAGAACAAATATCCAAAGGACTTCTATGGCTAGCCTATGAAAATACATCTCTCACTACGAGGTTCAAGCTTGTCGTGAGTCTCTTGTCTAACGAAAACTTCACAAACCCAAACCTTGATATGTGCTAACGATGCAACCTTCCATGTTCACATCTCATGAGGTTTTTTGGTAACCTTCTTAGTTAGGACAATATTACGAATATGGGTGGCAATATCTAAGGCGTACCCCCAAAATGAAATTGGAAGAGAAGCTCGACTCATCATGGAACGAACCATGTCCAACAAGGTTCGATTGTGCCTCTTAGCCACACCATTAAGTTGTGGTGCCCTAGGAGGGATCAATTGTGAAATTATTTCACATTCCTTGAGGTAGTCGTGCAGCTCGATACTAAGATACTCTCTGCCTCTATCTGATCTGGGCATCTGTATCTTCCTGCCCAATTGACTCTTGACTTCATTTTAAACTCTTTGAACTTTTCAAAGGTTTAAGATTTATGTTTGATTAAGTAAATATAGACATATATACTATACTCATCTGTAAATGTTACATAATATTGATTTGCATCCCTAGTGGTGGATATGAAGGGACCACACACATCTGTGTGTATGAAGTCCAACAAACCTTCACCTCTTTCACAAGATCCAATGAAAGGTGATTTTGTCACCTTATCCAAAATATAATATTCATATGTATCATCCAACCTTAGATCAAATGATTCCAACACTCCATCCTTTTGGAGTTGGGCGATTCATTTCTTGTTGATGTATCCAAGATGACAATGCCATAACCATGCTTTGTCTATACCATTAGGCGAATCAATTTAAAAATACACCATTACCTAAATTGTCTACACATGTCACAGTTTCATACACACCATCACAAGGTAAAGCTTCAAAAAAAACATTTTTATAAGTAGAAATAGAACCATTCAAATCATTAAATGGATATCTTAACCGTTGTCTGAACAATGCATGAAAAGAGATAATGATTCTTTTCATTTCTGACGAGTAGCAATAATTCATTAAATCTAAACTAACACCATTACTAAGCACTAGACTATAAACTCCCATCTTAGTAACAAGTGAAGATCGCATATTCCCTATGATCAATTTCATTCTACCGTGCTCCACATCGTCACTTCTTCTTAGACCCTGCAAATTAGAACAAATGTGAAATCCAAATCCTGTATCAAGGGCCCAAGAACGAGAAGATGATGAGTTATTATATGAAATAGTGTATATACCTGCAGAAGTTGGCTTCACCTTTCCATCTTTGATATCTTGAAGATACTTCGGTAAACTTCATTTCCAATGCTCCTTGTCATTGCAGTAAAAACAAATAGCCTCTTTGGGTTCAGAAAAGGGTGGGTGATCAGAACTGGACTTTCCTTTAGGGCCACTACTAGATGACCCTGCATGAGACTTTCCCTTCCAGTTTTTCTTGGGAGGAACTTTCCTCATTTCACCCTTTCCCTGTTCGATGGCTAAGACGGGAGCACTAGTATGGGTGGAGGCAATACTTTTTCCCTTAATTCCTGCTTCAACTATCTGCAGGAGGTTGTGCAATTGAGCTAAGGTGGTCTCACTAATATTCAGATGATAGATCAGAATAAACTGATCATAACAACTAGGTAAGGAGTTTAGGGCTATGTCGATAGAAAACTCTTCATCAAAATGCACATTAAGCCTAACAAGGCCCTCCACGTAACGTTGCATTCTTTGCACGTGACCACAAAGAGATTCTCCCTCCCTTATCTTGCACGCCATGAGGGATTTGACCACTTCGTACTTTTCTTGACGATCTCGCTTATGGTACTTTTCCATAAGGTCTTTTTTCATCTTATAGGGCCAGTAATCCTCATAAAACCTTTGCAGCTCAAGGGTCATGGTAGCTACCATGATGCAAGCAACTTTTGTTGCATCATTGTAATGCTTCTGGTAGGAGGCATATTCTTCAGGAGTAGCTTTGCCTTCTTTGACTTCAATGAGTTCCTTTTCGAGAAAATACTCTTTGTTCTCAAATCAAAGGGACATTTTAATGTTTTGCATCCAATAATTTGTAATTGGAACCATTCAATGTGACTTTGGAGCATACAGAGAGCAAGGAGATGTTATGTTGGTTGGAGGAGGGGGAGGAAGAAACATCAGTTGGAGTAGACATTTGTAAACAGAAGGTATTTTTAGTTAGATAGAATACTCCTTAATATAGAAACCCATAATAAAATATTAACGGTAGGATCCAACTATATAATTCACAACTTAGAAAAGGGATGTTGTAATCTAATTACAAATTTTATAAAGGTAGGTAAATGAAGATTTTCCAACTCCACCAAGGGAAAACGAAATTTAAAAGAAATTAAGTTATGTGAAATTCCTAGGTCTTTTGAGATTCATTGAAACCATTCAATGGCATGTTTAATCTCTGATTATGCTCTTATATTTGTGACTCTGATACTGAGGATCACAAACAATATGTGAATAACCATGCAAATGTGCTTGCTAACCTCATTATCATTTATCATCCCAATTGATGTGCTGGTAAACCATACACACTCAATCAACAATGATAATTTATGAGATACCCATTACGAGTCTTTATTAGTCCCTATTAGTGTGCTGGTTAGCCATACACGCTCCACTAACGACTTATAAACTGGAATGCGCAATTTCATGGGTTAGCATAAAATTCTTTTTTTTCTTAAGTAACTAGATTTGGGATTTTAATAAAAGTTTCTAGTACTTTTTTAATATCATTATATTTTTAATGAGAATTAATGTCCTATCAAGTCTATGCCAATGGCCCTCCACCAATCAAGGAATCGGTGGGTGAGAGTGAACACCCATTCAACTACCATTTTATAAGCAATTTCCTTATATCACATTTATAGATCGGCTTCGTGAATGAGACATACTAGCGACTTGACTGACTTAGTCTTGTACATATAATATATTAACAATTAATAATACATATATAAGGTGTATTTTAAGCTTTTCAAAATACTAGATTTATTTTATTTAAAATTTCGAAAATAATAACCAATTAATTTTAAATTCAAAAAATAAACCAAATGATTTAATATTTATCTATTAATTAACATTTAATTAAATATATTAAATCAATTAAGGATTAACTAATTAATTAATCAAATAATTTAATCTTAATCCTTACCCTCTAAATTTTCGAAAAATAGGTATAGGATTTATCAAATTTTGTAATTATCTTTTTTAATCAGACTAAACTAATAATTATCAAAAATTAGGAAACCCTAACCACATACCAATTTTCGAAAACTTTGGGAGGAAGGTTAGGGTTTTAAAACCCTAACCCAAATTTCGAGATTCAAGAGATGGGCTAGGGTTTTGAAAAACCCTAACCCTAGTCGAATTTTTTTAGCCTTCTAGGGTTTAATTTCCATAAACGTTAATTTGATCAAATTAAACAAATATAGCAAATTCAATCGAAAATAAACCAAAACGCTTTGATACCACTGATGAGTTTTAGGCATAACAAAACAAACTTAAAACTCTTAAGTGTGCATGCAACCTAAATCAAAATCTATGTTTTCTCTGTTGAACTTATAACTAAGAACATCAAAATAAGAACCCTAGAAACCCTAGGTAATTTTCAGAATTACTAAAGACAAGGTTTAGGGTTACATACCTTTTAGTTGCTATAGTAAACAACCAGAATCTCCTTTTGTTGATCTCTTGGAAGCAAGCACCACAAATGTTGTGCCTTTAATGGAATCACATCCAAAATAGCAAGAGGAAGATTATGGAGAGAGGAGAGGGGGAGCAAAATTTCGGTTATCTCTCTAAGAGTATTAGTGGGCGAAATGTAAAGGGCTAGGGTCCTTTATATAGTGGTACAAAGAAAGCCCTCAATAACCATAATCCGAATATAATAATAATATTTCAAATTGGTAATTATCCAACTCCATTTTTATCAATATGGAATAATCTAAAAACCCTAGATTATCCCCTTGAAATCGTCCACCCTCTGGGTGGAAGGTTCTGAAGCCTTTTGTTCAACCATTAAACAATTGCACTTTAGACTTTGCACTTTTAATTAATTCTATTAATTCCAGTTAATTTCCAATTAATATATTATTCTCATAATGAATTAATAAACTATGTATTTCAATTTATTATTCACATAATAAAATAACATCTCTCTTTCTCCAATAGTCATCATGTCCAATTGCTATGTTTGAGGAAAACCTAAAAGAAATGTGCTACGATCAATTCAAGTTATATATCAATTATAGTTACAGGCTTAAACACATAGTCCAACAGTTTCCTATTTTGATAAGTCTATAACTATAACTACCAGTATAACTTCTAAAATTAATCAAAAACATTAAAAAAAATTGAAAATGACAATATAGTCATTTTGCTGTTAGGGACTAAGCATGCAACACTTTACGATTTAAGGGATTGTCCGAGTTATTTTTGAAAATAGAGACTGAACACGTTTTTGACACCTACACGAAGGACGATTTGCGTTAGTCAATTTTGTTAAAAGGCTTAGGTAAAACCCTGTGAGTTTGAGAAAGTATAGGGACTATTTCTGTAAACATAATATTTTAAAGATATTTTTGCGTTACCGTATAAGTTAGCCAATCACAGAACCCATTAAGATCTATACGATCTTTTCGACAAGGAAAACTAAAACTGCCTGTCATTTTCGTATCTCACAACGAAATCTTTACCGTTAATTATTTTAAATCTGATGGTTGATATTTACTCTCATCTCACAAAGCATAAAAGCTTCCGTCAGTTTATCAGAAAGTGCACCAAATAAATAAAAAAATACCGCCTTTTCGACAGTCGGTTGTTCTTTACCATTGACGATCGTTCTCATCTGCGATATAATTCAAACAGTGTGTGTGTGTGTGTTTGGGTGTGGTGTGTGAGGAAAAATGGACTCCTCATCGGCGGTAGAGGAGGCAACTTTTCAAGAGAAGCCAAAAAATTTTGTTGATAAAACGTCGGTGAAGCGGTGGCTGACTGGAGCGGAGAAAGACGAAGGCGAAGAGGAGTGCGACACGGAAGCCTGGGAGACGCTGAATAAGAGTTTTAAGGAAGCGCAATCGGTGTTAGATCAGAACCGATTGTTGATTCAACAGGTGAACGAGAATCATCAGTCGAAGATTCCTGATAATTTGGTAAAAAATGTCGCGTTGATTCAGGAAATTAATGGTAATATCTCAAAGGTAAGCTCTGTTTATTCGAATCTATCTGTCAATTTCGCAAGCTTTGTTCATCAGCGACGCGTCAAGAACAAAAACGATAAGCTGGATCGCGCAGATTCGTGACTTGCGTTTTGCCTAAAAACCTATCGTGTTTCGTTTAGTCTCAGTAATTCTCGATCATCTTTTAATAATACTTTAAACCATCCGTGTTTACAGAGTTTGGTAATATATTATATCGACGGGGTCAGTTTGAGTGTCTATTTCGATTGCTTTCATAACGTTCGTGCATGGGGTGTCTTTTGGATGACGTTTGTGGTTTTCTTGTGATTGATCGTATTTTGAAATGAAAATTCGAGTGCTTAACTAGTGATTCCTTTATCTTTGATGATTAAGGTAGAGTGATTGCTACGACACTGCTAATCTTATGAGGTATTTATGTTTTCTCTTCCTTGAATTGCCCTAATTGTGTTTGAGTTCTTTCTTCAGTGAATATGAGCAATTATCTTCAAATATATACTTGTTTTGACAGTGTTTTCCATATTGAGAAAATTTCCTCTGATGTGTCATTAAATTTAACATGATCTTGGTGTTCATGAACTACTGGTGTGGTATTTTGTTGTTTTTATGTGTTAATTTTTGTCTGAACGACTAACTGATTTGACACACTGTGCTCCAAACTTCTTTCTGTCATTAAGAAGGTTGCAGGGGACCTGGATTATGATGGGGATTTTGGAACACATTGATGTCATGGACCTGAATCTGATGGTAAGATTGGTTGATTCTAGGGTTCCATGTAATGTGAATGTTGTGATGTTGGGATTTTTGTATATAGTCTATGAACTGCAAATAATATTCATAATTTGTCATACAATTTCTTTGCATCATCAATTGAAAGAATTTGTGTTTAAAGATTGTGAGTAAATGGATACATCCATAAGCGAAATGGTTATTGATAGTTGTGCCCTAGTTCTTGAGTTGTAATCTTGAAACACAGGACTTCGGTATGTAAATTTTGCTCAAATTTTCAAGAGCAAGCATAGTTTGACTCTTTCTATCCGGTAGTTTATAAGCTAACAACTAATTTTTCAACTAGTATGTCAAACAGCATAAGCCATTTTAGTATTGCGATTGTTTATGAGAGTTGTATTAAATTGTTTTTAGGACAGGGTTATATATGATTCAAACATATAATATATTTGATTTGGATTCTACTAAGTTTAATCGGTTAAGAATCTTTTATCGTGATTAGGTAAAACAAAAAGTTGTGGTTACGCAAATGGTTGAACTGAAATACGCTTTATGATGGTTACTAAAAAAAATCCCAACCTTGATGGTAAGGTGCAATCGTAGTTTGAGAAAATCTTTCCTTTTTTACTTATGAAATTGTCAAAAAGGATCTGTACCACATGATGGTATCCGTTATAAATGGTAAAGTGATAGGATAAGATTGAGAAAGTATTCAAACTTTTGGGAGGGATGATCATATGTCAGATTTTGTTAACCTATCTAACACTTTTGTAATGACAAGTTAGTTTAACCAAAACTTTGTAACGACAATTTAGTTTAACCAAAATGGATCTACGGATACCTTTGAATCTATCACTTTTGGTAAAGTAGTACATGATCTCAATCATCAGAAATATACACGATACAAAACTTAATTGAGTCGGTTTTTATGTTAATATAAAGAAATATACACGATACAAAACTTAATTGAGTCTGTTTTTATGTTAATATAAAAAACTATGTCTTTATGTTAATATAAGAAACATGACATAGTATCATGTTGTCTTTGTGTTACATAAAAATTTGTCGAGTCATGTCGGTTCAAATAAAAATACGACATGATTGTCCTAGTTGACACCTCTAAGGTAGAAAGACGAAGTAAAAGCGTTTTATGGAATTTCCAAAATAATCTTATTTTCGGGTTCAAGAAGTATATGAGAGAAACAATATATGATAGCGGTGAGCAAAACTGAACTTGAAAATCAAAAAACCGATGATTTGGATTTGATTTTTCTAAAAAACCGAAATACTGGTATCAAGGTTTTAGAAATGCAAACCCGATAAAAACCGAACTGAATTTATGAATATATTTATCCTATACATACTATATAGATATATACATGTTTTGTAAAGTCATATCACAAACTGCTTCTTGGTCGATTTGTTCAATGTGTCGCCTATAGACCTTGGGGTCCCGTGTTCGAGTCTTCTTCTCGATGTATTTTGTGAACCTGAAATTGAATCAGGGAAAAACCGAAAACCGGGAAACTGAACCCATTGTTTATGGGTTGGGTTGTATTCTAGTTTTCTAAAAACCGATAAATTGCTTTTAGGTTCAGATTTAGGTCAAAACCGACCGATGCTCACCCTTAAATTATATGAGACCATAGTGGATTGCTCATTTGAATGGTTTGGTAGTAGTCAACGTAACTTGTCATTAAATTTGATCTCTTGGTAAATAACCTAGTTATTATGTCTAGTCCATAGTAGTAGTTTGAACAATGCTTTAAACTATAATTAATCATCATATGTCATTAGAATTCAAATTAGACAAGTATAGTGGTTGTTTATGTAAGGTCCCAAAAATAGAGTGTAAATTTTTATTTTTAATAATAAAATCAACCATTCATTTCATTGTTTCCAAAAGACCATCATAGTATAAAATGTATATTCTTGAATCAACAATATCAAATCAGAGTGATCATGCGGAAATTCATTGGTAGATGCGATGCGATCAGACTGAGCCATTCCCTTTGGAACCAGATGTGCGAGAAACATAAACATGAGACTATAAGAACAAAGCTTAATGAGTTCCCAAAATACAACATATTATACATACAATGGGCCCCACCCTACATCCGGCCCGCCCGATACAGATTGACAGTAACATGCGATGGGCCCCGCCCAATACATTCATTAGGCCTCACCCGGTATACGTACGGACACATACAATATATGCAAGAGTCACACAGACAGCTAGCATCCTATAAACATAATCAATGGTCTGATATTGGTGCCTTCGACCCGTAAATACTGTGAGGAGGCTCACCTCAATCCGATGATAAACAAAACACATACTCGAGCTCCTGCTACCACTGCTCCTCACACTAAACATATACAAGATCAACCCTAATTAATAATCATGGTAATAACCCACAATCAAAGGTCCAAGTCATATTCTATCTTACTAAGGGTAAAAAGCCATTTTACCTTTCCTAATCTTGACCCAACTAATCATGGCCCGAGCCCAGTATGACCCAAAGCCCAAAAATGGCTAAAAAAGGATATCTGGGAGTACGTCCTGCGTACATCCTTACTAAGCCCTACGTACTGGGCTACAACGGAAGAGAACCCAGGTTGAACCTGTTACGCTCTGCATACCAAGAGGGTATGCCCGACATACTTTGTTGCACCCGAAACTCATCATTAAGCTCTTAATGCTTAAAGACCAAACGTCCAATTCACATATCTAACTCTTAGGAAGGTCTTAACTGATAAAGTTGATAACTTTAAGCTTTTGCATGGCTTAATAGATCCCACAACCAAACCCTAACATCTTAACTTCACAAAATGATCAACAACTCATGCATGGTTGAAATATACAAAACAATATTCGAGTTTTATGGAATAATGACCTCAGAAACATCAAGAAATGCTAACCTAAGCTTTCGGAGTAGCTTTTACTCACAAGAGCCAACCATTGGGACCAAAACATGCCAAAACCTAAGCTAATCTAGATCTATGCAAGAGAATCACAAAGGTTGAGACTTTATACCTTCTGGAAGATGAAGAAGAAGAGTAGAGTTTGGATCTATGAGATATAGACTCCAACCACACCTTCTAAGCTCTTCTTCTTAACTATAAGTCTATAACACACCAAAAATCACCCAAAAGCTTGAGATTCTCACAAATTGAGCTAGGGTTTCGTGGGGGATGGAAGAGAGGCTGGTGGTTGATCATAAGAAGGCTTTCCAATGGGTTAACGTCCTTAAATAGGGCCCAATACCCTAAATTAAGGTTTTCATACAACACGAGTACGCCCTGCATACTCTAAGTATGACCAGCGTACTGGAAGAAACCCCTCGTCCAAGTTTAATGAATTACGCCTTGTGTAACCCATAGTTACGCCCCACGTAATTGCCATTCTAGAAAAATAATTTATATAAAAGCTTTAAAAGAATTTACTTAGGATCCGGGTGTTACAATTCTCCTCACTTGAATCAGACTTCGTCCTCAAAGTCTGTTGACGCAAATAACTCTAGGTAATGCTCCTGCATCTCCTCCTCAGGCTCCCATATCACTCTGAACCCTTTCGGTGCTACCATTGCACCTTCACTAGACCCACAACCATATTTCACAAAGTCTTTGTCTACTTGTATAGAATTACAACTAGTCCTTCTATGTAATTCAGGCACTCATCTACCTGTATATCCTCCAAAGGGACCACTACGGAATCATCAACCAAACATTTTCACAACTAAGAAACGTGAAAAGCGCTATGAATGTGACTAAGCTCCTTGGGTAGCTGCAAACGGTAAGCCACCCTACCCACCTAGGTAATAACCCTACAAGGACCAATATATCTGGGACCCAGCCTGCCCCGCTTCTTGAACCGGATGACACCTTTCCACAGTGACACCTTCAGGAATACCATATCACTTACCTGAAATTTCCAAGTCTGATCGGTGCTTATCAGCGTAACTCTTTTTCAAGCTCTATGCGATCTGCAATCTCCCATGCACCTACTAGATCAAATCGGTAGTCCGGAGGACCACCTCTGTGCTACCCATGACTCGCTGACCGAACTCGCGCCAACAAAACAGCGTCCGACATTTCCCCCACAAAGCATCTCAAAAAGAGGTCGATTAATACCGACATGGTAGTTGTTGTAATAAGAAAACTCAACCAAAGGAAGATACGTATCCCAGCTACCGCCAAAATCCAGTACACCTGCCCTTAGCATATCTTCTAAGGTTTGGATAGTCAGCTTACTCTGACCATCATTCTGTGGATGAAAAGTTGGGTTGAAGTGCAGTCGCGTACCTAACTCCTCATGAAATGTAACGTACCAACAACAATGACATAAAATTTTTGTTTTTAAATTAATAAATCGTCAATACATATAATTTCCATAAAACCAAGGTAATCAAGATTTAGCAAAAAAATCATCGAATCAGAGTAAATCACAGGATGCAGAAACGTGTGGTGTGTGCTCTGCAATCATCCTAAGCTCTTCCATTTGAAAACTAGAGTACCTGAAACATAAACTAAAAACCATAAGCACAAAGCTTATGAGTTCCCCAAGATATCGCATACCATAC